CAAATAAACGTAAAGAAAGTTTTAATGAAACATATTTAGAACTTAATGAACAATTATCAAAAACAACTTTACCAGAAATAACACCTATACAAAAACATATTCATTCATTTATGGAAAGTTTACCCAAATATACAGGTATTCAAAGAGGTTTTGATAATTTTGCTCCGGCATCTCTTTATTCAAGTCGAATACCGGTTATTATGAAATAAGATTATATATTTTATTTTAGTTTATACTGTCAAAAACATTTCGATCTAGTCATCTGTTTCATTTCTACAAAACATTTTCTCTTCTTCTTCTTCATGTCATGTCTTGTTCTTTTTTTTATTGTAATCAATAATGTAAAGTCATTTGAAGAATTATTTTTATTGATGAGAACAAACAAATGTATAATCCATTTTTTGTTCAATTTTATAATATATATCTCTATATAGTATTTATCAGTTTTTATTTTTATTCAAGAGTTATAACATTATTATGATTATTCTAACAGATTATTATTTTTTATTCTCTTTCTTTTTTATTTCAAGGTCAAAAAAATAGAATAATTAAACGGCTATACATAATATTTATACATATGTAAATAAATAATAATAATAAAAGTTCAAATATTTTTTTTTTGATATGGTCAAGTTAAATATATATGTTTGTGATATTTATATATACGACGAATATCATTACGAAAATTAACATTAAAAAATGAATAGATTAGTGGATTACACTAGAAAGAAAAAAAGAATCAAGAATGTATTTTCTAAATTTGTTTTTATTTTTTAGACTTACTGCACTATTAATATAATAGAGTAAAAATAAAACTTCACGAAATTCATATGATTTTATATTAAATAATGTAATTATAATTGATGATAAATACATAAGAATAAAAGTTGCAGGCATAATATATAATGTGAATGTTGTTCAAATATTTGCTAAACGTTTTTGTCTTTGTTGTCTTTCAAATACACGTTGAGTTTCTCTATCAAATCCTGATGTTCGACGTTTTGATGAAATTGAGTCTCTTATTGTTGGATCAATTGAATGTTGATTGTTTATATTAATTATTATTTGTTGATTTGTACTTGGTGCATCTTCAATAATACAACAATTAGTAGTTTCTTGCGAATGTCACTATTGAAAGAAGAAATCTCCGGAGTATTTATTATTGTTTTATAATTAATAAAAAGAAATACGAGATTCAAAGAAGTCAGCTATCGGATTTTTTAAGCACACCGTAAAATACTCAATAAATCTCATCCGTGCATCTTGGTCTTTTAGAAATTATATTATTATCTTTTAGGCTTTTCAGATTATTAGTGTCCCTCAGCATCAATGTATTTGCATATTCGAATAAACCAATTATTGAAATAATTTTTGAAATCGTCTTTTCTAAAGTTGTTAATAGTTTGTTCTAACGCATTTATCATTGTGTTGTCGTGATCGAACTGAATTCCACGTGATTTATTCTTTTAGTTTTGGAAACAATAAAAAAAAAACTTGCCAAAATATGTCATATGTTTGATTAAGGATATATCATGTTTATTCTTTCAAAATAAAATTATGTTAATTGGTGATCTTTATATACAAGATAACGCTCGTCGTTACGACTCGCTTGACCCTCGACTGAACTCTTTCTATTCATCTTGGGAATTATTGTCAAATAATTCGCCGATGTATGCGATGCTACTGATGCTACAATAACATTTGATTCTAACTAATTCTTTATTTTTTCAAAATAATATTTATTGTTGAAACTGTAACATTCATTGTTCATCATGCATGTTCAAAAGATCAGAAAAATGTAGGACTGCTGCCCCTCGATTGATTAATTTTACACTCATATCTGTGAAATATCTCACGAGCAATAGATCACTACCTGCTAGTCGTTAGCTTCCTGCTCATAGATTGGTTTCGATACATCTACAAACAAATGATTTACCTGTAAATAAGAGACGTTGACACATATCTCGCAGAAAACTATTTGATTTATAGTAAAATAATTCTTGATAAGAATGCTAACGAGAAGTTTCCGTCGTTAACTATCGGCTATAACTTCAATTTCAAGATATTTCTAAATGTTCCGCGTCATATCGAAATTTCTGCATATCACACTCTTAATGCTTTCACTATTAATTACAAAAGCAGGAAAGTAGAAATAGTTAAATGAACAAGGATTGGATATTGTAAAAAAAATGCGTGCCTTAAATAAATTATACAGGCCAGCGACTAGTCGATCGTCGGCAGCCCTCTGAGGTGCCACTCACGGCTAGTCGCTACCATGTTTACATCACCTATACCAACTAATCGTCCAATTCAGATTGCAATTCAATCAACTCTCATGGGACACTTTACGAAAGACTATTCTATTACTATAAAAAAAACTTCTCAATGAGAAATTTGAAACTAGATCTATTTAAAGAATGCCTTTGAGTAAAGTAACAAATGTCCAAGTTAACTAAGTGTTACCGTAGTATTTAATTGCTTTTTCTCTTTTATAACCAACGTTTAATGATATTCCACAAATGCATATAAATCGCTTCGCACTCTAATGCACAACATTTATATACAATTTGTTCAGTAATATTATTTGACGTTCGATTTCTATCGTTGTCGTTTGCGAAACAAGCCTTTAATGTTATATGAGCGTCTCAGTTATTTTTAGACTGGTTTTCAAAGCGATTATCTTTTCACTTTAGATCACGAAACATCCGCATTTTTTATCCACATAGAAGATATGTTAATACAAATGCGCTAACACATGCGTTTCGTCAAATGCATGTTCAAGATGTTTCACTTCTGCAGAAAAGTTTTTTCTCGAAACTGATTTAGAGAAAAATTTGCTAGTTTTTGTCGCTTTTGCATATGATACCAATTGATTGAACCACAAAGATAGGCTATTTTTCTATGAACTACGACACTCTGCGAAGCTCACCTCCGATTAATGGTACAGACCAGCAACTACTTCTTCGTCGGCACCTCTCCGGGGCGCCACTCATGGCTAGCCGCTTTCATAGTGACGTCTACTTCTCCGGTCCATCATCTTCTGTTTACACTTAGAATCTAGTCGATTTATGTTTCACTCATTGAAACAAATAGTTGTACTTATGACAGAAGATATGCAGACGAGAGAATTTCAAACACAAGGACACACAGCAACAGAAAAATTCATTTTATTTCATTCACTTTTGCTTGAGACAGTGTGAATATAAATTCTTTGCGTGCTGCTTTCTGTCTAATGTACTATTCAGATATAGTGCCCATACAGAAAAACTGTTTTCATACTTAACTTGAAAATATTTTTTTAGTTTTTTGCCGGTTCCGATCCTTACTGAAGCTCATCAAATTTAGATTCTTGGCGTTTTTCTGATCAATCCTAAATAAAAATAATTTCTGACAACCACTTTGTAGCTAAGACTATTCTCTTTCTGACCATATAAACAGAAAATAATTTCACTTTGGATCTACCGATTAAATCTTGCAAAAACTATCTAAACATACACTTTGGCGATTTATGTCTCGACAGATTAATTCAATCTACTAAAGCCAATTTAAAGGCAAACGTGAATTTACTTTTAATATTCGATAGACCAAAGAGCGAGAAATCTTGTAAGAAAAAAGTTATATCAGTGTAACTTGAGAAAAGTCAGAAACGTTTTTTGTGTATATTAAACAAGAAAATAATGCAGTAATAGAAACAAAATTTTTTTCCTTTTTTTTCAATTTTCAATTTAAATCTTGAAGAGATAATAGAATTTTCGACCTTGACTGTTATTAACAAGCTGGTAAGAGCGGTCATCATCAGTACAAATATTCAATAATCTAATCCATAAAATAATCTATAAAATGGATTAGATCAAAGATTTTAGATTATGGATTGGTTTTATAGACTGTTTTATGGATTAGATTATTGAATATTTCTACTGATGATGACTGCTCTTACCAGCTTGTTAATAACAGTCAAGATCGAAAATTCTACTATCCCTTCAAAATTTGAATTGAAAATTGAAAAATAAAAGGAAAAAAAAATTTGTTTCTATTACTGCATTATTTTGTTATTTAAAAATGTTTTTTTCAAGGACCTTCTGGATCAAATTAAAAACCAAAAATAAGCGGGAAGGATGCTACTTTTCTGTTAAACATCCCGACAGATTTTGAATTTTGTTTCTTTGATTTCTTGGTAACTATAGGAGTTAAGACCATGAATTTTTTACCCTTTTTAGATGACTATATGGTAAAACTGCGAGAAAAATTCCAGCTCTTAAGCACATATCCTTCGCGAGAAAATAGCATTTTACTCGAAAAATGTCCTGACAGATTAGAACGATAGGTATTTACAGAAAATATAATTTGATTTCAACTTATTTGACTTCATTCGACTTCTTTCAGACATCTACTAAATTTTCTGCTTAAGTTGGATGACCGTGAGATTCGAGGATAAAATGAGTTAGGATGGAGCTGAAAATGTGAGGATGTCAGCCGCACCTTTACGCCCCTGAGATATGCATGTATATGTGCGGATAAATTTCTGCATATGCTCATTCAATTCTCCTTTTCAAACCATTCGACTGGTACATAATAACAATATATAAATACTCATATAGTGATCATATTTTGTCCAAATATTTCTGAACTATTGGATTTGATTGTATCGAAAAATCTCGGAAAATATGCACTTTTTAATAAAACTCGATTTTTTTTCCAAAACGAAACAAGAGAAAAAGAGTTTGAGATTGAAGGAGATACTGGCTCGAAGACTCTTATTGCATGAAATCGAGATTTATTGCTTGCTGAGAAAGAAGATAAATACGAATTTGGTCTTATGATCAGCTATATTTCTCTGATTTAGATACAAAGTGCAACATAAGATTTGAAGTACTAGCTTGACTCTTGATCCAATAAGTTTTAATTATTTTCGTCAGATGAGACGGTGCATATTTTTTTGCCCACCAAACTTATACAAATGATATACTTTGTTTCATCGCAGATTCTCTTGTTTTCTTCTAAGCAAAATTAGCATCAAATCTGAAACGAAAGTTATAGGCTAGATTATGAACTTGAGAAATAGTCTTTTTAAAATTATCATAAAAGAGAAGACGATGAAATAATTTTGAAGCTGACTGTTTTGAAGCCGTACTTTTCTTGTCCTTTGTTACATTTGTGAAAACTAATTAAAAGTTCATCTCACTGTATTTGAATATGAAACAAAAACAGATTTCACATGCACTCGGTTGCCTGAACTTTGCTCGAATATTCACGACTATCATCGGGTTCCACATTTCTTTTCTTTTTGTTTTTTAGCTGTCTTTTTTTTGTCGAAGACTCAATCGGCACCTGTAAGCTTTGCTTGAATTGTGAAGGTTGAGTGATATTTATTCTTTCACAGAAAAAACCCAAGCCAGTCATCACTAACAATGAAACTGTTTGTCATGCCAGTTGAATTACTCAACAATATTCGGGTAAAATGATAACTCTCAACGAGAAAAGGCCAAATTAAAAATATGAGCTTCTGATGACTAGCCTAGGTCGAGTTATTCAGCTGTTAGGATACTGCCAATTTAGGTATATTGGAACCACTCTAAAGTAACCACAATCTATTCTCACAGAAACTGGTTGATCGAGCTTATCAAGTTTTGCTCAAATTTCATATATGTTGTAGAGAGCACAGCTTTAAGAGTTTTGAAGCAAACTATTTCGAAAAAATATTGTTCTACTCTGGAGATACTCAAACTTTTGCAAGAGTACTATCGAGAAAATAAGTACATTTGTTTTTAGATTTTTATCATAATCTTTTCTTAGAAAAGAATAAATTAATTTCGCTTAAAACTCTACTGTATATGCATCTCAATTTGATGTATTCATCATACAAAAATGGGTTCAGATGAGTGATTATTTAAGTTGAT